AGAATTATTCGGAGGGACTCGTCAACGATTCAGCGATCGAAGAATTGTTTGTGTAAGAAATTTATTTCAAAAAAGACGAAGATATGATGGAATAAATGCGAAGAAAGAAGAGAAACTTTCACTATATGATACGATTGTATCATATTTCTTTTCGGAGGCTTTTGCAAACTTTTTTAAAAATTTTTAAAAAATAAATGCCAAAGATGGATAATAGTCACTGTTTAAGAAGACAGTATTTGTAATGATAAGAATGAAATGCAAAGTAGTAGTATGTAAGTTGAATAACAGTGATTCATATAGTTTTCGATCGACCAAAGAATTTATAAAATATAGCTAATAATGCGCCAAAGAGTGATCGCCGAAGCAATGCATACAAAATATATATCGTTGTACGTCTTTCTCTTTATTGATCAAAAGACATATTTTTTCTCATAAACCAAAGATGATCGCAGGAACGATGATTGAAGAAAATGAGACAAGTGATATAGTGAAATCTTTTCTCAAGACGCGCTGTTGAAGTTGGGAAATGTGGACAGGAGAATGCGTGCTTTTAGCGATTTTTAGCGAACATTCGCGTCTTCGCGATCTTGGTTTCGAATTTTGATTTGTGCTGCGCTGGAAAGTGAGAAAAGTGGACGGGAAAGTTTTAACCCGGTTAAACAGATTCAAAACTGGAAACGGTGGAAGATATAGAGGAAAAGTATGATCTAGAAGAAGTCCTGGAGACGTTATACTGCGAGATCGCCGTTGGTCGGCGCAGCCCGAGCCTCTCGCCGTCCTTGGTATCGTTCGATACCAAGATGCTCGACATATTTCGCAGTCTCAAGAGCCTTATAAAAATCTCGCATATTCATATCGACAGCGCCGTCTTCCGCCTGCATTACAGTCTAACTGTGATCCTGCTGATAGCATTCTCCCTCATCGTCACCACCCGCCAATACGTCGGCAATCCCATCGATTGCATACACAGCAAGGACCTGCCGGAGGATGTCTTGAACACTTACTGCTGGATACACAGCACGTATACCATAACCGCGGCCTATCGAAAGAAAGAAGGCTACGAAGTGCCCTTTCCCGGCATCGACAACTCTAAATCGTATCCCGAAAGCGAGAGAAAAGAGTACAGATACTACCAGTGGGTCTGTTTCATGCTGTTTCTCCAGGTAACATTTCACTTTCTTCGTTTAGCGTTTTCAATTCGAATCTAATCAATTATTTATTAAGCTCCAAGTATTTATTTAACGCACGTGATTCGAGATTATTGCAATTTTGTGTAAATAACAGCAAAGAATAAAAACGCACGATGTTGTCAATATTTAAAACTCCCGATAACTTTCTTATAATTTGATGATAACGAACTGTCGGCTGCAAATAAAAATCTTTTTAAATAGAAATTCATAAAATCTCTTTATCTTCTAAAAATATCTTATTTTTTGATTCATTACATTTTCATAGCCTTCTAATATGTGACAAATATTTAAAAAATTGTCCACACATATACGAATGGCTCCACACAAACGAAATATATTTAATGCAAAGATCTTGCTCAAAGATTTATATGCACGTTTATTCTTTTTATAACGTTAGATATAACTGGGTGCTACTCAACCCCGTACCTTTTTAGAATACACGTCTGTCGATTAGACGAGCAAAACATCAAGCACCCACATTTAACGTCAAATGTGCGGTTCGCATACGGGGTCGTAAAATGGCACCGATGGTGCTTTTAACGCTGCACTCATAAGCGCTTCCTACTCGTTCGTCAATCATTTCGCTCAACTCGAGCGACTTGCAATATTATTTGCAACGGATTATTGTCCAGTCCACTGCCAAGAAAGAAACCTTAAGTATAACAATGCATCAAACTTTGCCATTGCGAGGATCGTTTGTGATATCGCCTTGACGTGTTCGATCAATGACGCTCCACCTTCACCCTTTTAGCCTCTGCTTTGAGAGATAAACCGTACGACGGCTCGCACAGGCGATCCGGTTTACGTGGAAGCTAATGAGCTTTAACCCGATGATGACGTATATAGGATGTTCCTAAATATGTGCAAAAAAATTCGGAATAAAACTGCCTCTCAATATTTTTAAAATTTTAACACCTTGTATTTCAAAAACTATGCCATTTAGGACATTGGCACATCTGAGCTTTTCTTCGAGAAATTACGCAAGAAATCAGCCCCCGAAATTTTTCGCATGTTTAGGAACGTCCTAGTTATATAACGCGCAAGTTACTCAGAAAATGTATCGATATCGTAACGAATAATATATCGTTGAGCAAGCGATAAAAATTTTTTAACGTGAAATCGAGCATTTATCGATGATTTCAGTCCACAATGAAAGCGACTTGCGAACACGTTGTAGTCGAAGTTAGGTCGAAACGAGTTAATGGTGTGGCGTGCACCTGAAATAGCGATCCATAGTATTTTTTCTTATGTTCTCTCTCGCGTTTCTTTCATGCTACTCGCATTGATGTCTCAAAATAAACTCAGTCCGACGACAGCCTACAAAACGTAAATTCTCTCGTATAACGAAGGTTCTCCTTCTATTTCCTCGTCTCCCTTCGCGTTTACCGTGTGTTTTTTCACCCGGCGTCTCAAAGCAAACTATAGTTTAACAGTCGGATAGTCGCTTTTTTCACTGATGTGTATTCCCCTTTCTTCGATATATCCCCGCCAACACTTCTATAATTATCGTTGAGCTAATTTCACTGTCGAACAATGATTTTCATCCAGCTTGTATACTTCGTATATTTCTTTCTCATATTATCGTTCCCGTAACATAATCATTTCAATTCTTCGGTAACCAAACTCTCATATAAAGAAAGATATGGGAAAAGAGCGCGTAAAATTAAAATAAATATAAATTATATAAATTATATAAGTTATAAAAAATATGTATCAAAAATATTAAAAATAAAATAAATGAAAAATACAGATAAAAAAAATCAATCGAAATCCTTTTCTTGACTCGACAATCTCGTTAATAACGAGGATTATTTTGAATCGCTCGCTAAAGGAGTCGATGAAAAGGCACTATTTTTAATTACGACACGAATATCTTATCTCAATTTTGTCGGCTTTTTATTGCTTTCTATTTTTTTTCGTCGTTCGGGTGGACGATGACAAGTGCGGTTTCGCAAGTGCACATTTCGGTTCATCGGAGTGTGCTTTTACACGTGATAATGGCGCGTTTAATCTCGTAGCTCGGAATACGCGCTCGTAACACGCGCGATTAAGTATATTTTCGATGATGGCGATTGTCGAACCCCGCCTTGTACTTTCCGCGATGCAATTAGAGCGATGAGCTTTACAGGGACCCGTCGCTCTCGTTTTTTTTATTCGATAATGTCGCCGCGTCATGTAACGTAATGAGAAAGAATAAAAGAATTTTAGGGAATAAATTACAGCCGTTTATATTATCTCACTTGAATCTGCTCTCTCTCTCTCTCTCTCTCTCTCTCTCTTGGATTTTAGGGATAAAAATAGACGTCTTCTCTTCAACACGTTATCGCGGAGATTTAACGATGCGTACGTGAAATTTACAGTGCGACTCAAATATTTTATGATCTACGATATTATATAAAAGAATATTTACGTCTTGCTAAGCTCACTAATATAGCGTATCGGGATTCATTAAATTTTTCTTTGATTTTGCAAATCGATATATTATCGTGTTACGTTAAGCCTTAAGTATAATTTTACTACGCACAACTTTGAAGCTTATGAAATCTTGTTACGTGATATTGAACTTTACTAGTCCGTTGCAAACTTTGAAACAAAGTGAAGCTATTTATTGTTATACATGTGAAATCTGCGCGCAAATATTTGTGCACCATATCAGACACGTATATCAGATCGCGGTATAATATACCTAATGTTCTGTCGATCAGCCTCTGGCCATATTGACCCGCCTCGATACTTGCAAGATAATGTTGCAATTTATGTATTTAATATCGAGGTCAAGGGATGCCTCTCAAGTCCAGTCAGTCTTCTAACAGCTTGTATTCAAGCCACACGTGCGTGTTTTTTTCCCGACTTCATTTTCAATTTTTCTTTCATGTACATTTTGCCGAAAGCTTTCAAGTTTTTAAAATGCTGTTTCGTTTTTAAAATAAAGCGAAAAAAATTGTGCATTATGTTAACTATAACAATAGTAAAAAAACGAACAAGATGTGTGTATGATGTGAGCAATATAAAGTGATTTTTAAAAATTATTAAACAAAACAATAAGTAAATAGTTTGATCTACATTTTTGTGTGATACATATTATATTTATGGGGTGATTGTATCAATTTTTATTTCGTCGATACAATTGTACAATAAAGTAAACCAATATACTTTACAAATAAACGATCTTTAAATTCTTCTCTCTCTTTCTCAAACGAAACATTATCAAATCGGAAAGATGACAAAAAAATGAGAAAAGATTTCGAAAAGAAATAATCGAAGGGAGAGAAGCAAATCAACGAAAAGTTAAAAATCAGTCAACACTATCGTGTGACTTTTATTTTGGTTTATATGCTTACTAAATACACACGATACACACTTTTGTCTTTGGCTCAACTTCAAAACTCAAAAAGCACGCAGGGCACGAAGTGAACTACACGGGTGGTCCACTTTTACGACTGTAATTGTACTCTTACAACGATTCATTCGTTATTCGTTTCCGGCAATTTAGCTAAAACAATAATCGCGCGATCTAGTTTTAATAGTAAAATAAAACGAAAGTCCGGATCCGATGAATCAATTTGCAAGTAAGATTACCGTTAATGTTGTTAATGTCCTGCCAAGAGTCGGATAAATCTGTACAAAGGAGAGAGATATATTTCCATTGAAATATTATTCTTTCATTATCCAGAAAATCCACAAGGAAATTCTAAGAGCGATTCGTCTTTTGATATAAAATAAGAATACTCTGTAAAAGCAAATGGGAAAACAAACAACATCGAATGGACTCGAAAGGCCCAGCTCTCTCTCGCTCCCCGATCATCGAATATGCCGTTGATGCTCAAAATGATCGATTTATTCGGCGCGATTCGATCGCTCTTTAAGGTGCACAGAATCGCCGAGGACTCTATGATGTTTCGGCTTCATTATCGGGCTACCGTGGCAGTGCTGCTGGCCGGTTGTCTCACCCTGGCCTGCAAAAGTATCTCCGGCTCGCCGATACATTGCGAAACAAGCGGCTCCGTGGACAAGGCCGTGCTGGAGACCTTCTGTTGGCTTCACACCACGTATAGCATGGTGCGCGCGTTCAACTTGAGCATGGGCCAGGCCGTGCCCTATCCCGGGGTGTCGAACAGCAAGGGCGACGGGGTGCACGGCCATGCGCCCCACCCGCTGGTCAAGCAGCACAAATACTATCAGTGGGTTATCTTCTTCTTGCTACTGCAAGTAAGAAACGATGTCTGTCTCTCCCTCTCTCCTATGTTGCCTCTTTTTTTTCGTCGAATATTCTCTATATTATTCCCCTTTTATCATGTTTTAGTTGTCGCTATAATCAACGATTGAATTTAGAAATATTGTTGGATAATTCGATTTTCTCGAGCAATGTTTTTCTTTGTTTAGTCTCCTTTTTTTGCGTAAAATACCTTTCGATATTAATCAGGATTCAAATTTATAGGAGCGATATTCGTAAAAGAGTATCAAAATTATTTAAAATTAATAACTGGAAGGAGAGAGAGATTGCGCCAAAGTGCTCGAAGCGTTTATATCTAAATTAAGATAGTCCAGAATTTGCGATAGTCCAGAGTCTCAATATGAAGAGCGATATATAATCGGCGGCGAATGCGTATATTCGTTTATCCGTGATTGATAATCCTTGTTCATAACGTCAATTCATAAATACAGGTTACAGATATATTTCTGCCTTTAAAATGCATATGTACCTTCGATGCTATCTTCGATCGTACCTCCGCCTCCCATACTTCGAGTATTACTCGTCTTCGCGCACGTACAATATCGCTCTTTTCCTCGAGTCCTCTATTTATGCGTCCAAGGCTCATACAACTCTCTCGTTCTTTGATTAATCGCGCATCCGCCTTTTATTTTGCGATTGATTACTGCGCATCTGGATATATTTCTTAGATAGTGTTTGACGCAAAACATCTATAATTCTGCTAATACCTAAATTTACGATATGGCTATCTTCATTAAAATAATAAGAGAAATTATAAAGTTTAATAAAACTGAAAATATATAGAAAGTAGAAAATTTTATTTCGCTTTTTATTTTACAATTGACTACTGCGCATCTAGATATATTTTCTAGACACAAAGCACAACACGAAATATCTATAATATTGCTAATATCTAAATCTACAAAATATCTTTATTAAATAAAAGAGATTACAAAGTTTAATAAAATTGAAAAGAAATAGAGAATTATCTTTTATCAGAAAAACTTTATGAAATCTAAAAGTTCAAATTTTTCTAGAACATTAGCTACAAAATGGATGTATAAAGAAATTTTTAGAATTTTTCCAAGCAGATTATTTTCAAAAATAAATGATTATATTCAATGCAAAATCTTTAAATAGAAGAAAGATATTTATATTTGACAGCATCGGGAAAAAATTAATTGCTTTACATTACATGCTTATTTTTAAGCGCGTTAAAAGTAGCTATACATAACACTTCTTTGTTCGCTTCGTCCTCCTTTCCTCGGAGGCTTGTAACTCTTTCGCCTTGTTTAGCTAAATTTACTCGGGGTTAACGTGACACATGGGCCTCTCTGCATCGGCCGAGAATCATGTGCGAAGCATGTATGCGATTCTTTCCTTTCAGAAATGGATATTACTCACATTATATATAATTATAGTAAATGATTGCGCTGGATTGCTGCATATCTCATAATTTTTTTTTTATTTTGCTTTATTATCATGAGTTATTGTGACTAAATAATAGAGCTATGTGTGTGTTAAGCTTTTAACAATTGTAAAAAACGACTTTGAAAGATAAGTCTTAATGAACTTTTTTATATTTATATTATACTTTACAAGATTATTAAAAAATAAGATTTATATATCGTAGAATGCAATTTCAAATTTATATTCAATTTGCTAGTTTTTTTAGAAAATATATATAATTTTGTGAGAATTCAAATGTCAAATTTAAGACTTGATTTAATAGCTTTTAAAGATTTAATAAACTTTTAAAATTTAATAGACTTTAATATTATTTTCTTCTTATATTATTCAAAAAATATAGATATCATATCTGTCTCTCTTTTTCTGTCTATCTCAACAATGTGTTTAAATTTACACATCTAAAGAAATTTTTTACAAATTCATGGGTTTAAATACATATGACAGAAAAATACAAATGTCTCTTTAACAGGCAGCAAATGCCATATTCGATTCTGGTTAGAAGAGAAAAATAAATTTATTTTCATTACACAGTTTCCTTTTCTCTTTATACACAGATGTTGCCTAGTGATAATGCTAAAAGCTGTGAATCGTCGTGTAATCGGTTTGACATGCACGTTTGTTTTACGTTTCTTCGTAATCTTGTCAAGAGCGAGATCAGACCACCCATTCTGAATACCTACTCCTGTCGCTCTTGTGTAAATCACGTATGTTGAAATTATTAAACGAATTATATTGTCGCATTTTTATTACGTTTTTATTTTATCTGTATTTTTTAATTTACTGGCACTTTTCAGTAGCCACAATTTTTTTTCACGTATAATTAACTTTTGAAAATAATTGCTATAGCGCGAATACACACATGCACACACATCTTTTATCGAAAGAGAGTTACTTTAAATAATTAAATAATAAAATATTAATTTTTCTGCATATTTTATAATGATATGCATACTATTGTACATGTAATAATTTTATGAAAAAATCATATTGAATTATTGAATTTTTGGTAAATTAAATAAAGCGCGGAATCTCAATTTTTTGTGTTGAAAAAATGATTTCATTTTATATATGTCATTTATATAAAAATAAACTGTCCTCATAATAAATTATACTATTAAGCACATATCAGTTTCCATAGTAAAATTATATCATCATGTACTCATATTCCCTATAATAAAATTATATCATCATGTACACATTAGTCCTCAAATTAAACTAGCATGTTGTTTCTCAGAAACAATGTAATTCGCGACGCGTGTATTTCGGAAACCCTAAAGCTCCGGTTTAAATACGTATATACCGTCTACTTTCATTAACAATCATCTCGAGTCTATGTCACCTTCCGTAAATTGTAATTTAGTCAGAATTTTCTGAACAGTCGCCAACGCGTCGTAAGAGGTAACGCACGCACGTATCTATATTCGATCGCGTACTACGGCAAGCACAACCCGCGGTCTTTGGCGATAAGCCAGAGAGAGCTTTATATACTGTGAGAAAGGGTTTACCCCCACGTCATGATCTCGATAAGTGCATTGACATCGTTTCAGAAATTCTAATATGAGATAGGAATGCTCCGATTTTAATTAACGCGGCTATCAACAGCTCCTCTTCTTTTTCCCCTCGCGCCCCCGACGTTAAATATTATTGAATATAAAGAGAAATTACAGTAGTAAAACATTATGATTAACTACATATTATGATAAAAACTTGTTGAGGTAGAATTTAATTCTCTCGTAAACATGTCGTATAATCCAGGAATATTGGGACGTCAGGAGAAAGAGTCCAGCAAAATGAAGATACCAATTAAGTTAGTAATTAAAATAACCACAAATTAAATCTTGTTTTTAACTCGTTGGACTGTAATTATGCCATGAATGATAACGTTCACTATGCAATTTTACATAACATAAATAATCCCGATAAACAGCAATACTTTTCATTAAAAGGAGTTGAATGGCTGTCGATTTTTTTTTTTCATTAAAAGTTCATAAATTAGAAGGAATTTTTTTTTCTTCAAGCATTTTAATCAGCAATTATTGGCGCAAGGCACTATAATGATAACTTGTTTCGCGTGCTCTTTCGCATCGATTATGTATTACATGTAAGTAGGTTCGCCTCCCCCAGAACTCTCACTCTCTTTTTCTCCTTCTTTCTTTCTCTCTCTCTCTCTCTCTCTCTCTCTCTCTCTCTAATGTATCAGTTATTGGTCGATTCACCGGTATTTATTCACTCGGCACTTTGCTCGCAGGCGATCCTCTTTTATACTCCGCGTTGGCTCTGGAAGGGATGGGAGGGTGGTAAGATTCATGCCCTTATGATGGATCTCGACATCGGGCTATGCTCCGAGGTGGAGAAAAAGCAAAAGAAGAAGATGCTACTCGACTACCTTTGGGAGAACCTCCGCTATCATAATTGGTGGGCTTACAGGTACTATCTATGCGAGGTCCTCGCGCTGCTGAACGTGATCGGTGAGTAATTCGCTCTTCTTTTTTCGGTTCGCCGTGTTTTGAACGAATTTGGAATTTCGCGAGTCCATTAGACAACACATATATTTCTTCTTATCTTTTGTTTACGATCGGAATAAATATATTGTCTCTATGAAAAACATATTTAAAATATTTCGTTGTCTCGCTATTAAAGACACATATGTACGCAACTGGGATTAATTTGTTATTTTTTTGTCGCTATATGTTTGAAATATTTTAAATTAAAACTTTTAAAAAATATTGCACATTTTTTCCTCTTGTTTTCTTGGCGACTTCAAAAAAGGTAGTCACACAGCGCGCATCGTGATTAAAATAATTAAATGTATGCTGAATTTCCTAACAAACATGCAGATGAAAAATAAATTATAACACTCTATAATATATACAGCCAAAGAGGAGAAATCATTATTGTGTTAGATTTCTGACAAATATGTCGTATAAAAAATCCTTTCGAAACTATGTTATATATATGTGAATAAATTTATCTTAAATATTTTTTATTATAGTGTAAATAAAATATATGTTAATAATCACATTAATAAAAAATATAGATAATTTTTAAATCTTTTGCATAGATATTATATTTACGTAGATGTATAAAATAATTTATTTTGTTTTCAAAACTATATTATACAAACTGAAATTGAACTTGAGAAATATTTACGATGCCAATCTTAGGCAACATCTAGCTATTAAAGATTCACATCTTATTATAATATATACGTCGAAGATATCTAATGTATATCACAAATTTATTATTTAATTTATTATATTCAATATTATTTAATATAATATACCATGTTTAGAAATGCACGAATCCAGCGAGCACCAATTTTTTTATTAGTTCAGAGAATATTGGAATGAGTCATTGACTGGCCATTGATCCGTGCTTTGAATCTATCCATCGATGGTCAATACACAATAGAATATAATTATTTAATAGACACACTAAAATACAGCAAAGTTCAATGACTTTGTTCAATGAACATGTGTTAATTGTCCGCGTTAGTTTCACAAACATAGACATGTACACGCATCGAGAAAAAGGCAGACATCCGTGTAATGAGCAGCGAATGAATGAATTCAATTCACGATAAAAGTTGGCAGCGATACAGCTGGCCAACTGCTTGCAAGCTTGACTGCCCGATTGACGATGCGATGGTTCGTCAATTTTATACGAAGTCTATTATTATTCTCGGATCAACCAGCGATATAAACTGTAATCAATATATTATAGATGGATATGAATGTATAATCTTTACATGTGTGGATTAATAAGTATGGAAACGTGTATAAATTAAATTTGAAATTATATAAATCCACACTTTTTAAGAAACAAATATAAATAAAACAAAATATAATAAAACAAAATATTTCAACACAATTATATATATTTGATTATCCTGAATTTTGAGCCCAGAACGAGCTTTATTTATTTCGCTCATGCACTCAATTATATTAATAAAATAAAAATTTCTCGTATTTAATATTGACACAGAAGCATCACTGTATATTTTATTTGCCCTGTAGTAAACAAATATTTGAAATAAAATTATCCACATATGTATAACATACGTTCTTATGAGATTATTATATATGATAAATTTTTCTCATAAATCTAACATAAATAAGAAATTTTTCTCTTTTAGTTGATATATAGAAGAAAATCGATTGATTATTTTAACTGCAAATTTTTGTACATCATAAGTTGTGTCTTTTATGAATGTCAAATTTGCGCTTCAGGAGAAAGAAGCACAAGTTACGATGTAAAATTGTAAAGCAACGAGCACGTTGTCGCAGGTCAGATGTTTCTAATGAATCGCTTCTTCGACGGCGCCTTCCTGACCTTCGGTATCGACGTACTCAGATTCCTCGAATCCGATCAAGAAGACCGAGTGGACCCGATGATTTACGTCTTTCCACGTATGACCAAATGCACTTTCTACAAGTACGGCGTCAGCGGAGAGGTTGAGAGGCACGACGCCGTTTGTATATTGCCTTTAAACGTCGTCAACGAGAAGATCTATGTTTTCCTCTGGTTCTGGTTCCTTTTCCTCGGCGTGCTCAGTTTCTTTACGGTTTTGTACAGGGTCAGTACGATCCAAACATTATCTTATTTTGCAAAATATATCTGTGATGTGAAACAAGAAATGCAATTGCTCCTTCATATCGTACTTAACGAAGCATTTCTTTAAATGTAACAATATCTATAAGTATTTCCTTATCTCTTTACGAGATGATAAAATAATTTGTTTATTCACTTCATTTGCTTATGTTATTATAATTTGTTTAAAATTTTATCACTCGAGAGCTCGTCTTTACGCGCGATATAATCATATTTGTCGCAGATCCTGATCATATTTTCGCCGCGCACGAGGGTCTACCTGTTGCGAATGAGATTTCGTCTGGTCCGGAGGGACGCTGTGGAGACCATAGTGCGTCGCAGCAAGGTGGGCGATTGGTTTCTCCTCTACATGCTAGGCGAGAATTTGGACACCGTGATATACAGAGATGTGATGCACGAATTGGCGAACAAACTCGCCTCGAGGCATCACCATGGCGTGCCGGGAGTGAAGGGCGAGCTTCAAGAAGCCTGATCGAGGTGAGCGTCTTCCCCTCGTCCCTTCTCTTTCGCGCGCGCTCGCGTGGGTGTCCGTTGAATAACTTGCTCTTTATGACACTGGCACTCAGAAACATATTGAATTCCGAAGCGAAGACTCTCGTCGGCGCGTATCGCCGATCGCCTACGTGATATATGCGCGCGATACGCGTACGCGTATCGTCGACATTAAGCGGATTTACTCCCATTAAACTGATATCAAACCGCGATGTTGTGACGTGATATACGCGCTATACATATGGCCAGCCTTACCTTTGAAGAAACGTTAATTTTATGCAAAAACTATAAATATATCCTACGTGATATATGACGATATTTTGCAGAAATGCGAAAAAACATATGATTTTTTGAAACGGTTAAATGTACCTCTTCTCTACAATCGCGTGGCTATACGGATCTCTGGAGAAATCAGATTTGCGAAATGAGAGAAATATATTTACTTCTCGCGTTAAGGTAATTTTAAACGTGAAGAAATTTCGAAAAGATAATTTATGCTTCTTCCGAAAATCGATATTTTCTGCTCGAGATAGATGTGTAAATTTCATTCGAGGTAATTCTGTCTTGGAACCATCAGCGCATTACTCAACAATGCATAAACAAGTCTCCCTTGAACGATTTGCACAATCGATATCGCATGCATAGGCATCACTTGTCATAACTAAACGACTTGAGGAGAGAGAAAGAGAGAAGACACGATCCCGGGACACGTGTCCCGGTGCACGACGCGTCCATAGATCAATCGAGCATGTCGGATGCAATCTACGCATTAGCTTTATCGCACCATGAGTCGGACGGACGATTATTGTTGCAGGTTGCCTCGGAGAGTCGGCACGTTCGATTCACCGTCGCCATCGTCGCGATCCTGTCCACCTCGACCGTCCGCATCGCGCGATCCTCGACGCATCCGACGCAGACGGGGCCTGAAAGGACGACGGATCAACGGGCCTTCCTCGAGGATCCGCGGCGGTGGATCCGATCTCGCGAAGATGTCTCGCGTCCATCCTTTCCGCCGGCTGTTGCTCATCGAACTCGAAGCGATGCGACAGCGATAGCGCCGGATGTCGGAGATGTCGTCTCTTTTCCTTCCTCCCTTTCACTTCCTCCTTATCATCCTCGTGTATGCGAGTCGCGGTGAGAGGGGAAACGACGCGCCCAGTCGCTCTCTCGGGAATTAAATATTCGAGAAGCTAATAGTTTCGGCGACCTCAGACCTCGCCTAGCATGGCGAGAGAATGATCCTTACGTTTAGAGGAGAGGCAGCAGGAATATGAGACACCGCAGGCGTGTGTATACGTGTGCACGTAGTTTTCGTCCTTGAAATTAAGCTAGTTTATAATCTTGTGCGACATACACATTCACGTATTACGATTTAAGATAATACGCGCATTCCAATGGCGTGGACACGAAGCGTACAGACCAATTGTCATCCGAAAAATTTGTTTGCGCATTTCTCAAGAGAACGAACGACGTGCAGCGTTTCTCCTGTATTCCCTATGTCCGATCTCATATTCCCGCTCTTTCTCCCTTCCATCTGCGAACAATGAAAAACGCGACGACCACGTCCTGTTACAGCGCATTTCGCCGCATCTTGCAGCACTGGGGAACTGAACTCGTCGAAATTATACCGGTTTCAATCCTCCGGTCGCTCTCGGGCGGATTCAGCCGCGAACGAAAAGACAGAGACACGACAATCGGCAACGCGACGGAGCGACGGAAAGGACCAAAACTATTCTGCTGTGCGCTATCCCTGGAGATAGCGATGTATACTCGTTAAAAGACACTTTGAAAAATGGCGATGCAGATACGTCGAGCCGGAGATCTTTATGCCTTCGTATCGCTCTCGAAAAGAATCGCGAAGGAGTATTACTGGATATTCAGAGTATCGTCAGACGGGATTATTTCACTCTCGCGTGGGTAAAAAATGATGTACCCTTAATCAAGAACGATCTCAGGAACCATCTAGGAACTAGAAATTAATGAAGAGAGTTTCTCGTACGGAGTAAAATTAAATTCTCTTTAGAATTCTTAAATACAATTATAGTCTCTTTTTTTTTATTACAATGTGATGGTGTTTCTCAGAAAGGAGAGCAAAGTAAGTCTCGTATGACGATATTACTCGGGTCTTTGCAAGTTGCTGCAAGACTGCAGAGTGTTCGAAATGCTAAATAGATGCCTGCGTATAATATAGCCTCGAAAAACAACTATCTCAACACTTGTGTTAACTGTGTTTTGCAAGTATTACGTAAGAAAGCTCTGGGAAGAAAGAAGGATTAATGAAGATTATATTGTGTGATCGCGATTTTCGGGCGATATTGGGTCCATTGCGACGGTTTATTTTGATGAAAAGTGTATTTTGTTTCATCTTTGAAGGATTCTTGTATTCGATTCTTGTGTTTAAGCGCGATTAAAAATGCAAGAACGTAATATAATCTAGTCATCATATTCTACGTCTGCGTAAATATCGATCGCGAATTTATTTGTTCATATGGACACACTGCCACCGATCGATACGATCGATTTTGCTGTATCTGTCTTCGTTCTATTTAAATGAAGATAGCGTAAAAAATAAAGGTACGTTATCTTGAAACTTTAAGCGTTGTTCATTTTGCGATATTGATTAATTAATTACTATAGAATGTATTCTAAGTTATTAATAATTTCTGATATTAATAATTTCTCTCCTAATATCTACATTACATAAAATGTTTGATGATATAATATATTGGATAGTAAGTTAATTTCAACACCATATAAAAATCTCTACAAATAGTTTTATCATTTATTTTTTTTTTGCTTCTTATAATTAATGTTCAATAATTTCAATTTTTTTATTCAAAGAAGAAAAAACATCTTCTTTCATATTGTTTGCTTATTAATTGGTACTTAAACAAAAATTTCATTTTCAAATTTTTCTTTAAATTTATTACAATTATTAAATTAGCCATATATTAAATTGGTCATAATTATTTAATTAGGCATTATTATGTTTCATACGTAGAAATTCAGTTTTAGAATGAGAGAAAGTCATAATCCATTGTATTTTTCTCATTTCAACTTGTAATTTTATCATTATAAATAAATTATTATCGCCATTTCGTTACATTCACGCAGTATTATTCGATGTTCACGGTGTAAATTTCTCTGCAATTTTCCGTATTTATTTTCAGAGAGTGGTTTATCAAAGCAGCAATTAGCATCTATCTACTTTACGCGCCGGATTAAGGATAATATTACCACTGCATCATAAACACATCGCGCAATCAGGTAAGTGAAAACTCGACACTTATCGAATAATTTATCTCCATCCGTATAGACACACGCGGATTAGGTTTACGGTAACTGCGATTACGAAACGTGCGAGCGATTCTTCAAATATTTTGAGCGCGTTCGAAAGTGCGTATACGTCGTACCTGATCGCCAGGATGCGCCGGTGGTGTTCGTTGCCATATTCGGAGATGCGACGGTCAGAGAGAGGACCAACCGGTCCATTACCCTCCTCTCCCAAACAGAATTTGCTTCGGACATCGCGCGAAGCTGTCCGCCCGATTTCGACAGTTCAGGCATAAAAACATAATTTTTTCATCAAATATCAAAGATTGATTGAATTTGAGCTCTTTTGCTCTCTATTGCTCTCAAATTCGAAATGTTACCTTTGTGATTTTTGCATTCTTTTCTTAATATTCGCACTCTTTATTTATTCTTTTATTATAAAAAATTGAGAATCGCTTTTTCCATTTTTTTTCATAATATGTAGGATATTTATATATTCAAATCTTGTAATAAAAGTTTTCCGATTTTTCGGATATTTTTGTTTAAAATTTCAGGTAAAGAGAATTTATTTTAAAGATGTTTTCATTTAATTTTCTAAATTTTTTTATTGGATGCGTTTTCTAAAGTTTTTTATGAACCAAAAATATAAAAAAAATATAGAGTTTCTTAAGTTTCAAGTGCTAGAGATTTGTAAATGTACTAAAAACACTGAAAAATTTTTTTCACTTGCATAACATTCTCATTTTTTTCTCACTAAAAATACTGCCGAAAATAAATACGGAATAAATGTACTGCATGTTCAATATTTTGTTGAGATCTTGAATATATAAAAATACATATATATTTATATAAAGATGTGCATATATATTTATATACTATATTTTAAACACATAATTCACTTGGCTTGCTATATTCGAATCTCAGTAAAATAAGAATTCTCTTATTTTTCCAGACACGAAATAATCACTGAGAATTCCACGTTTCCCATGTTTTTGCTTTCCCAGGAACTAGATACCCTGTAATACTGATAGAAATCGAAAAGAAAATATCTAATAAACCGATTCAGAGAGAGTTCGGAATTGGAATTCAAAATTATCTCCTTTAATTTGCCAATCTGTTCCTGTAGAAACTAAATTACACCAGATGGTGGCATTTACCGAAACAAAAATATACGACGTCAAATCTGCGATTAAAATCGCATAATGTTACAATTCGTGCATATTAAAATGCGAGGGAGAACTCTAGAGACTGCTACATTTTTTTTCTTGTTTCCTCTCCATCGGACAAAGTTCGAATCACTTTCACGATTGGTCCAAGGACGTCATACATGAAAGTGAAAGATCATTGCGTGATTCGGGCCTCAAGCCCGACGCAATGATGTAACTTGCATCGAGGCGACAAGACGCGCTAAGGTAAGAAGTAATCGACATTACGGGAAAAGCAAATGAAATTCCGACGTGCGACGAGCTTGCACGCACGTATAACACGCATGCTTGTATGTACACACCGTGACGCGAATGTACTCGGGAAAATCGCGGATGGAGGAACACACCGGGTGTCGCGGATCGCAACGGATTGTGAAAGTCGTCGCTTTGCGGAATTTCTCGTGGGATTCGAAAGTAGCGACAAATTGCCATGGGAGAAAAAAGCCTAGCGATCTAGCGATCACGCACTTGTCCCTCTGTCTCACGGTATTTGGCACTTTGTATTGCGTAATGTTTCGAGCAGCGCCCGCCATTGGAACGCTTTTTCAAGAGGACGAGTCACGCTGCATTATTACGTTATGCAAGGATGATCGTGCGTATCCTGGATGATACGTTCCAGCTAAGTTGGAAGAGAATTTATGAGCTACGATTGCGCAGAAAATCACCATCTCGCGCAGGATTATATTAATCTGTGCTTTAATATAACAAGGTGTCAGGGCAATCTCTTCTAAAAAAAGCTCTTGCAGCTTACCTCGAGTGCTTTTCAAAACACTATAACAAAGTGTTTTTTTATCGAGTACTTTTCGAGTTATGAGACTTGAAATAATTTCTTAATTTTTACATAAATTATAAAATATCTAGCAAAATATTTATTTTTCGATTATCTTATCTTAATACTTTTATATACAAAATAATGAAAGGAATCAATTGATGTAAAGAAAACACATCATTTTTTCGAAGAAAAAATATATAATTTGTAATTAACAATTACATTTTTTTTTCGGAACAATGATGTGTTTTCTTTACACCAATTGATTCCTCCCATGTAAATTTAAGAGCCTACAAGAGCTTTTTTTTGGGAAGAGATTGTCCTAATATCCTGTACATGATGTGATACGTAAATTAACTAATTTAGGGAATCGAGCGAGAAGTGATTTTTTATAAATCGCAATTCGGGAGATAAATAATTGACACTTATGAAAACAAATTAAGATATGAAACAAACAGAGAGAATTTGTGTGCGTATCTGAGATACGAGTTATTATTCGAAGCTACAATTGTAAGTTAGAAATCGAAAGATTTCATGCGATTTTGATCTTCAAACTAACAAGTGAAAGCGATTTATGTCAGATTAATAACACTGTGTACAGGACACGCTCTTACAAACATCTTAACTACCATCATCGCGAATAAATTACATTCGCTTGGCTAGTTGCTTGCGAGACGTTATAATACTTCGTATAATTTTGCATATCATGATATATGATAACTCCAAACTCTCGCAGCATAAATTGACGCATCTATCTGCATTCGCAAACTATTAAATTTTAATCATCGATAATCCTATAAAATTACAAAATAATAATAAATTCCTTCCTCTATCTCTCCCCTTAAACAAGTACGTGCCAGCGAAGCTAACATCGCGCGAGAAATTGACGCGCGATAAAATCATTCCCGTCGCAATTCGAATATCAGAAGACTGTGGAGAAACTTGTCGAGCAGAACTTGGCGCCATCAATGGACGGACGACTCCTCGCCCCCTCCCCCACCCCCCACCTCCCTCGTCAACGAGCCGAGCGCAAAAGCGATCGGAACCCCATCCTCTCCATCCTCCGATAGGAACGGATGCGTTTCGCTGACGGAGTTTCGAGTGGTCTTTCCGGTTTGCAACGCGACCAAAATGGCCTGACGGTTGGTATTCATTCCTTTCTTACCCCCTTTGATCTTTCTCCATCTCCCTACCTCGCTTCTCCGTCTCCCCTCCTCGCGTTTGTCCTTTCTTCTCTATATATCGCGGGGTTTCTCACCGTTCTTTCCCTTACCCCGCGAGTCTTCCGTGTCCGGCTACGTGCCGGGCCGTAAATGGCGAGCAGAAGGCCTTGGGCGCCCACGCCCCCGCTTTTCTCATCTTCTCTTTTCTGTCCCTCTCTTCTCTCTACGCGGACCATCGCGGACCATCGCGGACCATCGCGGGCCCTTATCGCCGACATCTTCGCGAAATCTCCGTCCGTCGTCTGTCCCCCGTTTTTCTCGAGTGATCGTTTCCGTCGTGTCTTTTCGGCGAACGATTTAGAAGAACGAGAGAAAAAATCATCAAACGTTAAAAATAGTTACTTCCCGAAAGCCAAATAAACCATCAATACTTGAAATAAAAATTAGAAATTAGGATCGTTAATGGCGAGCAAAAGGGCGTCCATCCCCCTCTCTGTCAACCTCTCTTTCTCTTCCTTTTTTCTCTCTCTCGCATATCGTGAACTCTTATCACTGACATCTCCCTTGCCTTTTTCAATTGACGCTTTTTCGGCAAACGATTTTGAAAGACGAGAGAGCAGACGATCAAACATTAAAGAGTCTCGTCGCAACCAAACAAACTACAATTCTTAAAATAAAATAAAATAAAAACTAAAATGATTGCTGCAGTCGCACGCGGAGGGGAATGTTTGAGAAGGAGAGAGCGAGAGAATTATATCAAATCCGTTCTTTACGTTTTTTTATTCCGATAGATTTCTACGAATAGATAATAGTTATTGAATCATTACGGGAAACAAAAGAAGTAACATTATTTATATATTCATGTTTCATAACACGAGACTCCTACGTAATGTTAAATTAGCTATTTACAGTTTGTACCACATCCAAACCTAGTTACCTTGAGCAGAAAATACGCGAGGCGTTCATAGGAAGAATGTAAGAATGTCGCACCTCTTACATCCTTATAGGCTTATGCACGTTCTTTAAAGGCAAGATTATCGTCGTCTGTCAATCCCGAAGATAAGTGACAAAGATCTTCTCACTACGGAAAATTATTCGAAACGAACGTCATTCGCTAGAAGACTCGAAGTCGGGATAAATTTGGCGAACGACATCGCGAATTGCGAAAGAGCGTCTCTCGGAGACGGCGGCGGTGGCGGCCGCCTGGAGTCTGGGAAAACAGAGTAAAAGGAGAGAATTTTTCTCTCTTTATTCTTGTTCGCGGCGGAATAATCGTTTGGCGAAAAACGGATAGCGGTTCTAAGCTTGTTGGATGTTGAAGACGCGCTCGCGTCCCGTACGTCGCCCGGGGACATTAAATCCACCTCTCGAGTAACGGACGTCGGTCAGGAAGCTTCTTTCTCTCTTTCTCTCCTTCTCCCTCTTTCTCATCAAAAGTATTCTTTTAAATGCCTATATATATGTATATGTATATGCGCGAAACGCATGTCCCTCTTCGGAAAATTTTAATACAAATGTGTTGCTTTCAAAGCTTCAGATTCTCGTTTTTCGATGGTACTCAATAAATACACTCGTGTACCATATAATACAAGTGTCTTGAAAAGTATTGTTAAAGTATCCTAAATAAAATATCTTAATTTGACACATTTATTAATTCACTATTTTTGTGAACCACCTAAAATACAGCACGAAATGTTATTCCTCGAAAACTCGCGTAAAAAAAAGAAATCAATTATGATCGGTTCGATCTACAATTTTCCCCGGGAGGAAGAGATGCCGCCCTTAAACAAACGAGAAATTACAAAGATTGGAGCTCACGAGGATCAAAAAGGAAGACTGCCCATTCGGTTACCTAATGCCCTATCATCACACCTGTCCGCGAGACCCGTCCGACCCGCGGATGCCTTGTTGACCGTAGAAAAAGGATGTTCCGCCTCCCACGGATTTGTCGAGAGGGCGAATCTCCCGGATGCTCGTCGGACGGTACCGCGAATGAGGTGGGTGGCCGAATAGGTGTACGAGAGATACATTCGCAGGTAGGTAGGTATAAGGACGTAAGCGCGTAAGGTTCGGCCGCGACGCAATCGCGACGCGCGAGTGGGAGAGGAAAAGGTGGCGGGGTTCAGTTTGCGCCGAGGCCGCCGACGGGGGGCTCCGTCGTCGCAGGTGAAACGCTCTCTCAGGAGAATGTACTCAGTCGTGGTCGCGCGATCGCACTAGACGATATTTACCTGCCTGCGATCCCCGGGCAGGAGCGTATCGGCCGCACGCAGCTCCCTCGAGAGCCCCTCCGTCCCCCCTCGGGCCCCCCTCGAGCACGCAACACGGCAACGAGGTAGGAGAGAACACGCGTGTTACTATCGTTCGCCGGATGTAATCGTTCGTCACCGGACACGCTGGACGAATTATCCGCGAGATACGGAGTTGTTTCAGCGAACGTCACCAAGCTTCTCGCGCCGAGTACGAGTTTCTTCTTGGAGGAAGTACGTTAGGTTCTATAAATAGAGAGATTCTCGCTACAATGCTGCACTCCAATGCGGATTTCCTCCAGCTGTGACCGGTGAACTTTGTACGCGCAGTTTGATATAGTCGAGAGAGAAAGAGAGAGAGAGAGAGGAGGGAGAGAGAGAGAGCGAGAGCGAGAGAGAGAGAGAGAGAGAGAGAGAGAGAGAGAGAGCGCAGGAGGTTGCCCCTGACGAAGACTCCTGGATGGAAAGGAATTTCGATTTATTCCGCGATCATCTCCAGCTGATTTCTTTCGAGGCGATCGTTTTTCGCGCTCACTTTTACATTCGTCTGCCGCACCTAATGGTGATCTCAACGCTGACAGCATCGGGACGGAATCGGGGTCGAGCGAGAGTCCCGCGATACGGGCTTGCAAAAGAGAATTCGACGCGAGGTCGTCGACTGTCTCAGCGAAGGAAGACGCGCTCATTAACTCCGGATGGGGAAGAGACCCCCGCGGGGGCAGGCCCGGTAGCAATTTCGCGAGCGTGAGTAAGCCGCGCTCGCGCGCGTTGGTGCCCCTCGCGCCATAGGCGTTCCCCGCTCACGTACAAGACTCGTTGACCTTCGCGCCTGCCGACTCCTTGCAGGAGTATGAAGAAAGCGAGCGGCGCGCGATCCGAGAGTCTCCGATGCGCCAATTTTGGTAACTCGCGTCGAGATGCTGTCGTTAAAGCGTAGGCCCGGGAGTAAAAGAGACGCCGCGATATGGACTTTGATTTTTTTTTAAATCAAGACTTCTCAAAGGATGATTTATGTTCCGAGCGATATGACTCGGAGACAAAAACATGGATGAAGCTCTAATCCGTGAAATTGACTGTCTATCTTTATAGATGAAAAATACAATGAGTATCTTGTATGTATTCCTTCTCTCTCTCTCTCTCTCTTTCTCCTTTCTCTTTTGCGAGTGGTATCGAAGCTTCGCAGCAGTGTATCGACCTTTCGCGAGTTACTGTTGTAACGGACTCGAGATATTAATTCTTTTCATCTGGAGCGAGGAACCAGAGTATCGCGTATGATAATTAATTCATGCACTTAACAACGAATGCAAGTATAAGATGCAAATATTTCTGCCTATTTTAATACCAAATAATCTACGCTGAACTGGTAAGATGGAAGTAAATTTTTTTAGTAAGTTTTTTTAGACAGTTCAATATAAATTCTAGAAAATAGAGAATTTTGTCTGCGCAAAAATAATAATGTAGATAAAAACAATAAAAATATTTCGAACAATTGACGCTCCTGACAAATGCCACGAGAGCGACTAAGGGTTAATAAGGGTTAATAAACTAGTATCTCGATATCTAAGCTTGAAAATCGCAAGTAAGCATCGCAATCTCGAGATCATAGATGAGAACGTGGATCGCGAAGAGCGTCCGATCGATCTGCGAGGGATCTTTTTCGACAATTCTCACCGACTGTTCCCTCCTATTTGATTGTCAATCAGTATAATAACTGGTCAATGAATTATGTAATCAACATTTGCATTATTAAATGAGCAGTCGATGTCCCGCGTCGTATGCGAGCTTTTATACTCCGATGAATGAAACGGGCATCAGTGTCGCGATTCAACAATCGCGATGATCCAAGCGAGATCTATAGAAAAGCAAAAGCATTCGATCGACGTTCGAAAGTTTAAGCGACACGTTGCGGCTAGGTGAAAAGACTCGAAAGTCATGGTATATCAATACGATAGTCTGAAAGCTGCATGCGCGAGGAAAGTTTTTAATGCGCGTACATGGCATCAATAATTTTCACATGTCAATATTTTTGTCGTCTAGCGTTAAAAAATAACAACAATATGCATTTTAAGCTCGGAATTTCTTAAACTTGCCATCGCGATATCACTTTTATCGCTTTTTCGCAGTACACGTATAAAATTACATTCATTTGTCGCTATCGTTATTTTTCGTTTCGTAGATAAAAATATCTATAAATGATTCATAAGATATTTAAGGAGATGATTGCGAAGTCACATGGCAAAATTTTACACTATTATGTTTCTTTCTCTCAATGAATTAATATGTCGAAATAATTTTTTAATTTTCTTTTTCAAATATTTATATTTTAATCAAGGTTTTTTGAAGATTGATTTTTTCGTCAATTATGTTTTAATTAATTTTTTGATAACCTTGATCGCAATTTCTAATGAAGGTATAATTTTTATTAAATCAAATAAATATTAAAAAAAAAACAAAATAATGATAATTAAGTCAGTAGTTTCCAAGAAAAAAATGATAAAAATTTAGAAACAATTTTACAGAAGTGTTTCAAGGGAAACAATTTTTTTGACATCATTTTTATATATGAAACTTTTTAGATATATCTAAAAGTCATTTTACAGCAAAATTTTCAAGGGAAAGGAAAATTATTATATATTAAAAAAATAATAAAAAGTATTTCGACATTTAAAATCATTTTCAAACGCGTCTTCGAGATAGATTCGATAAAAAAAAGCTTGAAAAATATCGCTCTACGCCACTGACATCCGCTGCTACACCTCCTCACGCGAGAGATGCGACGAGCGCGTGTCTCGCGGAACGGGATACGCACCGCTACGCATCCGAGGGAAACACGCGCGTCACTCGAGGGCGCCGTATCGATTTTCGAATTAGTCGCTCGAGAAAATTTTACGACGACAAAGCAGTTAAATGAGAGCGATACGTTCGCGCGATCCATCCCCGAGAAAATCACGTCACACGCTCTCATCTTTATTTAAATTCCGACCGTCTCGCGTTTCCGTAGATCTACGCTATTCTACATCTCCAGCGAGATCACTGGGCGATTTCCAGTGTGCACGCGCAAAATTTACGATAGCGACGCAAAATCGCGTAGGTCGAAACGTGAGAAATCGTTGTTTCCATCGCCGACGATAGCATTCGCGTCGCATTATTTTCAACAGGGGAATTTTAAGTGAAGCGATCACGTCAGTATTTTTTATCACTATCGGAAATCTCGTTCAAAATCGAATCCAAATGAGAATCTGCTTTCGATTGTATACAAGATATTCCAGGTTCCTCTTTTGTATTTTTTTTCTCTCTTTTTGCTATATTTAAATACACACAAATTCTCTCGAATCTCAATTTGTATTAAATTACTCGCGAACAAAAGTTTCAAGATGTATACTAATGGTTTACGGGCTATATGTAACTCAGAATTTACAAACTTTTGCGAGCTAAGCGTTACGAATTAATCTTCAGATATTTGTAAATTAAAATTTTTTTAAAATTGAATGTTTTATTTTAACAAAATTTTTGAATTTTAATATCGATTTAAAATTGACGCGCATCTTTAAGAAATGTCTTTAATCTCTAGATATCTCTGAGACATCGAGAAGACTTTGTATATTATGCAGGTTATAATTAAAGATTTGCAATTTATTTTAAATATATATTTTAAATTTATGCGTGTCGATTTAAAGAAGATAAGAAAGGAAATATAACAGAGACTCGGATATCTTGCATAAATTAAGGTTCTCTGCGGAGCGCGTTTAGCGTAGCCGTTTGCGTAGGCAGGGTAGCCGACGTGCGGTTTTGCAGCTTCGGCTTTTGGGCCCGCAAAACGACGAAAAATTGCACGCGGTGTCGGCGACGGCGGCGGTAGTACCGCCTCCTCGAAAACCGGTCCTGGGACCGCCGCAGCCGCCGCCGCCGTTGTTCCTTGTCGATTTCGCCTGGTGAACACGCGATCGCCATCTTGAATCCGGCGAGGATGACGTCACTGGTACAGGGCACGGTCGCTTTATTCACTGCCGCTTACGCACCTCGCATAGGTGCAGATGTACGCGCGATTCTTCACCAGAAAGTCGCGATGGAAAATCAATTAAATAATCAACTCGCGACAAAATTTTAAAAGGATCACAAGTTTGTGTGCACTTGAAATAAACTCTTGAAATATACCCTTTTTTTCTTTATAAAATATTTATAAAAATCACTTTCTCTCTCTCTCTTTCTCTCTCTTTATATATAATGCAATATAAAAAGTACAAATTGTAGTTTTTATATATTTACACTAATTTTAATAAAATAAAACACTTTTAGCATTTTAATTTAACGCATCTCATTTATGATGTTATATTTATAGAAATACTTATTATATTCGTTTTTTTCTTCAAACTTTATTAATAACTTTATTAATCAGATGCAAAATTTAATATAGGATCGATGTGATAGTACGTGAAATTTTATCGATTTATTAATATTCAAAAACAAATTTTTATATTAATCATCACGATATTTGTGTGTAAATATATTTATATATTTTTTTATTATTTGCGCAATTTAATAATCAAAATTGAAAAATATGTTGGTAACTTTTATTCGAAACCTAACTTTTTGATTAGTTGTTCTATTTATGTCGAGAAAAGGATAGAGAAGTGAATTAATTGCACTAATGAGATCGATAGTTATCAGTAAATTGATCTTCGCTACCTTTTTGAATTTCGAAATAAATAATCAATATTGAGAATCAAACTCTCTCCCTTTGAATATGTAAGAATAGTTACGAAATTTACATTCGAATCTACTTGATAATACGAGAATAACGGGGGATCGCAAATTTTTAAGTGTATGTTTAAACACGTCCTAGTATTTTGAGTTAAATAAAGCCTTCTCTTTGATTTATAAAATATTCTTTTTTTCTATAGTAAAGAAACTTCAAAAAATCTTATAATATAAAATACATGAAAAATTATCAAGCATTTTTCATTTCTGATATACATATATTCATATGAATATGTATGCATATATACTAATCTTTTTTTCAACCTACCGATTTTGAAGTAATGTGTTTGTGTATGGATTTACAATTACATAGTGCATTTGTTTATTT